CCAGGACATGACTATACACTTATCCTACTTACATGTAAATAAAATTAAATAAGGTTGTTAAGAGATTTCCAACAACAATAAAAATCCAGTCAACTCTGCCCCTCCTTTATCATCTCCCTAGTCCTATTGCCTAAAAGCTACTACTTTCATTTATTTAAATGTTTCTTCCAGCTCTTACCTTTTCAAACAATATGCTTATGCTGCTGTTTCTTAATGTATCAATATTTGGCAATATCTACTGACTTCCCATTATGGTAGATAAATATTCAGCTCTTTCATACACAGCCGCCTCTACTATTCCTCCTTGACCTCTCAATGTATTCTCACATTGTTTTGTTTGCATTTTAATGTTTATTTATAATGATATTGTGGATACTGTTTACTACTGAGTCAAGCAAGCATATTATGAGTAGGATTCCTTACTTGTAGAATTTTTAAAAATTAAATCCTGGAAGTAATAATGAACTCAGAAAACACTTGGCTTAGTATCTCTGTATATCAATTGGAGTACAATTTCTATGTACTCTAACACCTTTTCAGCTTGGTTTTCCCTGTAGTCTAACATAACAGATAGGTTGGTCCCTTACTGGAGCAATCGTCTTGTCCTCTTGTCCCCATTTGGACTGTTGCTCTCTAGGTGTGTTCCATGGTGGTGGTTCTGAGTTTCTTTTTGCTAACATCTCTGATGGAGCCTCTATTCCTTAGGTACTATGACTTTTGTTTTTTATTCACACCCTCATTTGGATGAAACACATATCCACCACTAGCTTCCTGAAAAATGGTGCATGGAATTAAGAAATTTGAGATACTACATGTCTAAAACTCGTATTCTACCTTCACAGATTTTTCTTTCGGTTTTATTCTTAAAAATGTGTTCATAGTTGCAGTTGTTGGTGAACTCCAATTGTTTGAAGTTCACAATTTTCGAAAGTTAGGAAGGGTATATGATAAATCTTCCTTTCACAGTTGTCCTCTGACACCAGTTTTCTTCTCTAGAGGTAACTGATACTATTTTTTTAAAAATGTATGTATTTTCCTTCTTTTTAAAATGCAAATATTTTTTGCTTTTCTTGTTCCCATTTAACTATATCGTGGGGATCATTTCATATCAGCGTATAAATTAACTTTACTTTTTGCTTTGCTAATATTTAATCATGTTAATTTATCATAATTTTTCTCTTTCCCTACTGGTAGAGTTCTAGGTTGTTTCAACCCTTTGATATTAGAACAGTGTTTTAATGTGCCAATCACAGGTGTGCCATTTCACTGGTGTCTTAGCGTATCTATGGGATTTCTAGAAGTCATCCCCACATGTGATTGATATTTTGATATAGAGTAGTAAGCAGCCCTGCAAGTGTGATAATTCTAAGTCAAATGAGATAAGGGGAAAGGGGGAAAAACACCCGATAGTAAATACTTCATGGCAGAGTAGGCTCATTTCTAGAGGACAATGAATAATGCAGAAAAGGTTTCTAATACAAATTGTTTTCTTTGAGCTTTTTGAACATGGCCTTTGTTTTTTCAGATATGACCCATCATTTTGAACTGGATAAAACTTGTTTTTGTTGTGACTTCAGTCTCCTTTTTGTACTCCTTACCCTCTGTCATTGCCTCCGTTAGTTTCACTGGCCTCTTGTCTCATATTTTTGAGTTTTAGATCTATCACTGAAGATAATGCAGAACAGAGAGCGCTCCATTAGCCAGCACCTTTCTTTTTTGAGATGGAATCTTGCTTTGTTTCCCAGGCTGGTCTTGAATTCAAGCAATTGCTCAAGCAATCCTCTTGCCTCAGCCTCCCAAGTAGCTGGGATTACAAGCACCTAGCTAGCTAGCACCTTTCAACAAGTCCAGAACACATCCTTAACATCCATCACAACTTTTAACCTCTGTAGCCTCCACATTGACTCATTTGCTGAGTTCAGCTAACTCTACCTCCCAAATCTCTTTCCAAGCTTCCATACGCCTTCTACTTCTCTCTCGCCTGGATTATTTTTAAGGATCTCCTAGTTGCCTGTAGCCTCCTATCTGGTTTTTCTAGGCTCCCCAAAATTCCATATTCAGCACAACTTGAAAGTTAATTATTCTAAATTTTAGTACTCATTAGGTCATCACCTTGCTTAAAACTCATCAGGGCCTCTCTCTTTGCCTAAAGAATTAAGTATAAATCCCAAGGAATTAAGCACCCTCCTTTCCCCTATTTGGAGGTTGGCATTCAGTATGTGTTTAGTAGGCCTCACTGTATATGGTAATTGACTTTGCATGACTCTGGGTAAAATTACCCTACTTGAAGCCAGCTGTTGATAGAAGAATTAAAGTTTAGGCTAAGACTGGCTTATTTCCAACCCAAACTTTTATATTAAAGGAGCTTTTCGTGTACCTTAACCATGAAGAGTGGATAGTGCAGAAATTTCAGATGGTAGTTGGAGAAGTGGAGGGATATTGTTTGCTTCAAATTAGGCACATATATAGCCTAATCTTAAAGGTAAACACAGATTTTATTTATAATAAAAAACGATGTCATGGAAGACTTGAATTCTGTTTAACATCTGGGGAGGTGCCAGCTAATGGGGAAGGGGTAAATATGGGGAGACTTACAAATATTGAGATTGAAGTCTTTTAGAATTTCTAGAGCAGGGGTTAGCAAACTATAGTCCTTAGACCAAATTTGATCCACTACCTGTTTTCGAAAACAAAGTTTAACTGGAATGCAGCTATGCTCATTCATTTACAAATCATCTTTTTTGTACTACAACAGAATAGAGTAGTTGCAGTAGAGATCATATGGCCAGCAAAGTGAAAAAAAATTATTTACAATAGTCCTTTACAAAAAGTTTGCTGACACGTTTTCTAGAAAATAATGGAAGCTGAGAGGTGGAGAGGTGGAAGATGAATATCCATCACGTAAGCGTTGGTAAAACTGTAGAAAGGTGAATGCAGAATAACAATTGAGCGGGCAATCTTTCTTATTCCTTTACTCCCTATTCCTTAATATTCTTGGGACCTCAAAGGAAGAATGAATAGAGAGAAATAGCCTACGACTTGTATGTGTTTGGACTCCTTCAAAAGGGAATGTTTGGTTGAATTAATTGAGTACAACCTGTCCATCCTCCAAATACATTCCATAAAAAGGCCCAGTAGACACTCTTTTCACTAAAGTATTAAGAAGTACATTAGTGAAGGGATTCCCTGCATCCATGAAAAATCTATGCCTGCTCTCCTTTGTAGACCATTGAAATTGGCTCTCTGATTTCACTGGAGTTGATGAAATCCCCTAGTAGCAAAAATCAAGTGGCAGTAAGCCCTTATCCACCAAATGCAAAGTAGATACACCTTCCTCAATGGAAAACTGGGACATAGAGGTATCAGAAAACACTGGCTTGCAGATGCTTTTGATAACCAAGATAATATCTTTGGTATATGCTTAGTGGTAGCTAATGAATGAAATACATAAGCAATGCTATAGCATTCCTTCATCTATGTAATAGGAAAAACTCTAGCTCTGGTAACAAAAAAGTTTACTTTAGTTGCTATGGTTGAGAGTCACAGCATCTCACTCAGTTTTCAGACCTAAGTCAATTCACAGTTACAGAACTTTTCCCCAAAGGGACCTGTTGCCATTTACCAGAGCCTATGCTTTGGGGAAAAGGAAATAATCAGACCTTTCATACTAATTCCTAGGGACCCCAAAATATTGTGGTCAATTGTTCAAAATGGAGACTTATAGTGGTCAGGTAACAAACGGAGTCTTAGCTTCATTTGTACTCATGGTGGGTCCAGGGGTCAGCATATCTAGCCTGTGCTTATTTCCCCAGTTCTTTAATGTATAATTGGAGTACACACACTGGGTAACTGCCAGAATCTCTATGTTGACTCTTTAAACCATGCTTTTCCAACCTGTGGCCCATGGGCCACATGTGACCTAGGACAGCTTTGAATGTGGCCCAACACAAATTCATAAACTTTCTTAAAACATTGTGAGATTCTTTTTGTAATTCTTTCCCCGCCCCCCCCAACCAGCTCATCAGCTATTGTTAGTGTTGGTGTATTTTATGTGCGGCCCAAGACACAATCCTTCTTCTTCTAATGTGGCCCAGGAAAACCAAAAGATTGGACACCCCTACTAACCCATGGAGGGAAGACCATGTGATAGGAGAGCTAAGTAGAAGACTTTAGAATTTCCCCTTTCTTCAAAGATAGTAAATCAGAACTAATAACGTATCCCTGAGGAAACTGTCAAGATTGATGTCACTATCAAAGATTTGAAATAAGACTTGTGATATCTATCACATCCCTATTTAGCTCACTTATTTTGCCTGGGCAGAAGTTAAATGGATTTTAGAGAATTGCTGTAGACTACCCTAAACTTAATTATTGGGTGTCCCCCAAAGTATTTACTGACCCAGATGTAATATCTTTATCAAACCACATAGCTCCTGGCATTTGGTATGTAGCTATTGACTTAGTTAATATTTTTTTTTCTGCCAATTTACAAGGATCACCAAAAACAGTTTGTTTTTATCTATCAGTGCCAACAATATGGCTTCACAGTCTTGCCTCAGGGCTAGGCCAATTCTTAATCTTAGTCATTGTAACATTTCACAAGCTATCACACTGTTCCACTACATTGATGATATTGTGCTAATTGTCTCTCATGAGAAGAAAGTAGCAAATACTTTAGATGTTTTAGTAGAGCATATGAGAATTAGAGGGTGATAAATTAGCCCCACAAAAATTCAGTAAAATTTCTGGGCATTCAGTAGCCACTATGCTCGATAGGCTTTTTTTTTTTTCTTTCTTTTTTGAGGGGGAGTCATATTCTGTTGCCCAGGTTGGAATACAGTGGTGGGAGCTGGGCTCACTGCAACCTCTGCCTCCTGGGCTCAAGCAATCCTCTCACCTCAGCCTCTTGAGTAGCTGGGACCATAGGTGAGCTTCACCACACCTGGCTAATTTTTGTATTATTTGTAAGGATGGGGTTTTGCCATATTACCCAGGTTGGTCTTACACTCCTGGGCTCAAGCGATTCACCTACCTCAGCCTCCTTGTAAGTGCTGTAATTACAGGCATGAGCCACTGTACCCAGCCTCGATAGTCTTTTTTGAATTTGGGGAAATATCTACATTTGAATATGCTACCTCAACCTGTTTACAGAGTAACGCTTAAGGCTGCCTGTTTTTAATGATGGTCAGAATAGAAGAAGGCTCTGCAGCAAGCCCAGCAGTACAGGCTATGCTACCACTTCAGCTTTACGATCTAGCAAGCTCAATGACTCTCTTGGTATCTGTGGCAAAGAGTAATGCTCTGTGGAGTTTCTGGAAAGTGCTGATAGCAGAATCACAATGTGGACATCTAGGATTTTGAAGTAAATATGTTCTTCAGATAACTTTACTTTTTGATAAATAGCTTCTGACTTGCTACTAGTTAGATGCTGAATGCATAATTATGGAGTGTCAGGTTACTATGTGGACCAAGTTTCCCATCATTATCTGGGAAAAATCTAACCCATCTTGCCATAAGGTTGGCAGTGTACAACAGCAGTATATCATTGAATGGAAACAGTACACAAGACAGAACCAGAGCAGATCTGGATAGTATAGATAAGTTGCATGAACCAGGGACTCAGACTTCTTTGATAGCAACCCCAATGGCATTGCCTCGTCTCTTTCAACTTATGCCTGTAACTTCTTGGTGATTCCCTTAGTCCCTTAGGAAAAAAAAATCAAACCCCCAAACCGGATTTACAGATGAATCTGAACAATACACTAGTACTACCCAAGAGTAGACCTGTATAGCACTATGACCCTACCCATGAGTAATTGTGAAGGATACTGGATGAGGAAAATTCTTCCTGTAGGTAGAGATTTGAACAGTAAATGTGGTTGTCCATTATGTTGGGAATGAGACATGCCTAGAAGTACAGATCTATATTGGTCATCGTCAGAGCTTTGGAGGGAACAGGATTGGAAGATTGGTGACGAGGCAGTTAGTTTGAGGAAGAGGTATGTGAATGAAACTTTCAATATGAAAAGACCTTGAAAAAACTTGTATTTCATCTGAGTGTATTTTACAAAAGCACATCCATTGCAGAGGATGCTTTTAATAGTCAACTGGACAGAATGACACATTATGGATGTCAGCCAGCCTCTCTCTCCAGCTGTCTCAGTGTTTGCCCAATGGGCCCATGAACAGGGATCTTGGTGGCAAGACTGGAGCTGTGTATGCCTGGGCTCAGCAACATGGCTTCCCCTTCTAAAGTTGACTGGGATAGCACTGCTGCTGAGTTCTTAATCTGCAGAGACCAGTATTGAACCCCTGCGGTGATCAACCGGCCTCTGGGTGGCAGGTTCATTACACTGGATTTCTTCCTTCATTGTCTATTCACTAGAATATACAAATATTCTGGATATGGATTTGCCCTTCCTTGACATCACCAACATCTGTGGACTCCTGGAATGCTTAATGGCAGGGTGAATACAGAGTAGTAGGTAGTGTAAGAAAGAAGTTATACATATTCATTATGGCCTCACAGCCAATTAGATAGGTGAGGATTATTGTAGGTTTGCACATTTTTTCTTTTTAATTTTTTTTCAATCAGCTTTCCTGAGTTCAATGCACATTTCTTTCTTTGCCTCTTATATCCAAGTGTTTATTTGTATATATTAACAATTTTCTTCTCTCATTTCAATTAAAAAATGTTAAATATAAGCTGTTGGAGATCAACTTTACAATTTAGTCTTTAGGTAACAGAATATTTAGTGGGACTGTGACAGAATTTAAGGAGTAACTCAGAGTCATAGCAATGGCTACAATGGGTGTTAGGTCTCGTTTTTGAAGAGAAAAAACTCTTCACTTATAAAGAAGGACACTTAGACTTTGTTAGCTGAAATATAGAATTGTTATTGTACAGGAGTTTAAGTGTGTGGGAGAGTGGTGCATGTGGAAGCTGAGTAATCAAAAGTGTAGCCTTTGCTGCTTATCAGTTTATTGTCTCTTAGTTCCAAATTTGCTGTATTAGCCTGTTCTGTAATAATGGGGCTGGGCCTTGTAAATATTTTTCTGCTGACTCATGTAATGTTAAGCTTTGCCAGTAGAGGGCACTGGAGGGACACTGAAGTGGCTGAGGCTTCTCTTTCTGGTGTCTGTGATGCTCACTGGCTAAGCATCCTCTGAGCACAGTTCTGAGCAGTTTTCCTCCACTCCTCACTCCCCAATATGATTTTCTCCACTATTAGGTACCTGCAGAACATAGCTTTCTCTAGAGTTGATGTCCGCCAAACACTGCACTTTCTTTAGAGCTTGATTCGGGCAACAGTGGTGTACCCTTGCTCCACAGACACCATGGACCTGCTCTATCGTCCAAGTCACTGCTCCCCAAACTATCTCTTCAGATCTATACATGCCAATTGGGGGCCCCACAGGACTGAGTGTCTAGGGAGCTGGCTGCCCAACCTTTGTCCAGGCAGCCAGCCCAGAGCCATTGTTGCCTGTGTGGCACATGAAAGTGCACTAAACTCCTGCAGGGGACAACCTCTGAGATTCCAGGTTCCATTAGCAGCCAGCAGTTTTCCTCAGCACCGAGCTAGTTCTAGGGTTTTACCCCCAGATGTGAATGGCCTTTTCTGGAACTTCAGGAGCAGATTTCTGGTAAATCCCATGAATTAAGTACTTCTATGACTTTTCTTCCATGCAGTCAAAGCTAGGGCATCTCCACAGATATTTCTGGATTCAGCCCTGTGAGAGGAGAGCTCTTCTTTGAATGCTTATTTCAGCCCTAGTGGGAGTGGTTGCTCCTGATACTCTATCTACAACTCCTGTATTCTTTAGAATTCTCCTTAACTCCCACTAGGCAATTCCTTCTTACTTCAATCTTCTCTTAATACTAGATTGTATTAAACTTTCTCTTTTCAAATTACTGTATGGTTTCTATCTCCTTACTAATCCAAAAGCCACCAATTATGTTTACAAGGTAAATCAATGGACAGATATTTTAAAATGCGGTGTCTCTGCCTGGGGGTGGTGGGGTGGGGGATAACAGTTACATGAATAATCTCTGGATCCACCTAAATTACTCCTTAGAATTCGTCTACTCTGTAGCATGCCCATAAATAATCAATATGTATCTTTCATATGTAATATAAAAGTCATTTACAGGTGCAGATGTGGCAGGAAAGAGCATGTGAGCCCCTGGGTTTGTGACTCCATTGACAGGTAATGTAGTATCATAATTACTTGTTTGTGTCAAACTGTCAAGGTAGAGTTGGCTAGCTCACACATTAAGATTCTATCAGCAACCTTTCACATTCAGAGATAACAATAAGGGAGATGTTTATCTGACCAGGCATAGCTGAGAAGCTGGATGTCTGATCCTGTCCTTCTCAGTATTGAAACCTGTGCCTTACGGTTGCTGATGGTTAACTCTGTCACTCAGCTTTTTGTCTCATAACCTGCAGATATCTTTTAGAAAGCTGTTCTTTGTTTATAACAATTGAAAGTAGTTTAGTTATCCACTGGTGGCGTTGCCCTGTTACTCAAAGTAACTCTACTTTGCCTTTAGCTGAGATCTTTGAGGTATGTCCACTACTGCCTCCTTTCAGACAGAATGTGGCTATCCATGCAGCTTGCTTTGCATCAGTGTTTCTTTTGTTTTCTTTTCTTTTTTTTTTTTTTTT